CACGACTGGACCTAATGGTCAGGGGTCCCTTTACCTTTAAAGGTAAAGGACCCCTGGAAGGTCCAGTCCAGTCAAAGGTGACTATGGGGTTGCGGCGCTCATCTCGCTTTCAGGTTGAGGGAGGAGGCGTTTGTCCACAGACAGCTATCCGGGTCATGTGGCCAGCATAACTAAACCGCTGCTGGTGCAACAGGACACTGTGATAGAAGCCAGAGCAAACAGAAACACTGTTTACCTTCCTGCCGTAGCGGTACCTATTTATCTACTTGCACTGGTGTGCTTTCGAACTGCTAGGTTGGCAGGAGCTGGGACCGAGCAACGGGAGCTCACCCCATCACAGGGATTCAAACCGCTGACCTTCTGATCGGCAAGCCCAAGAGGCTCAGTGGTTTAGACCACAGCGCTACTCACATCACTTCAGAGGATTATAGTATCTCTTAAGGGTGTATTCTGTGCTCCGTGAGGAAAGCGGTTCCTAGAGCTTTGGCTCGGACGTTGCTCTGGGAGGACTGTCCTAGCGCACCCCATATATTCCTGGCCCACCCCACACAAGAGCTAGAAAGGAACATGCCCCCCCTCCCAGCACAGCTGAGCCCCGACAAACCTGTGCAATCCCTGAGATGACAGCTTTGTTCACGAGGCTCAACCATGACCCTTCTGAACGCAAGTCTCCAGCCGACCACACCACGCACCAGTGATGAGCCCAGAAGTGACCTGCACAAACAGGAAAACAGTCAACATGGCAGCAAAGCAAACCTTATCAAAGGCACATGCGCAGGAGCCTGGGGAATTAGGAATAATAATAACAACAGCGTATTGGCCTGAATATAAGCCTCATTTTTTTCCCAAATTCCGACCGTGAAAAGTTAAAGTGCGGCTTAAATTTGCGGCCTTACAAAAACTGGCTTTTACGATATCGCTGCTGAAACAGACATATGGTAAAACAGAATGGGAATTCCTGCAGAATTTTAAGGGAGCGGCTTATATTTGAGTATTGTCTCTTTTTTTCCCCCCTTGAATTTTAAAGGTGTGGCTTATATTTGGGGTAATACAATAATAACAATAACAATAATATATTTTTACCCTGCCCATTTGGATGGATTTCCCCAGACTCTCTAGGCAGCTCCCAACATAATATTAAAAACTCGATAGAACATCAGTCCTTAAAAACTCCCCTAAACAGGGCTGCCTTCAGAAGTTTTTAAAAAGTCATATAGTTGTTTATTTCCTTGGCATCTGATGAGAGGGCGAGCACCATTACCAAGAAGGCCCCCTGCCTGGTTCCTTGTAACCTCACTTCTCTCAGTGAGGGAACCGCCAAAAGGCCCTCGGAGCTGGACCTCAGTGAGCGATGGGGGTAGAGACGCTCCTTCAGGTATACTGGGTTGAGGCCGTTTAGGGCTTTAAAGGTCAGCACCAACACTTTGAACTGTGCCTGGAAACGTACTGAGAGCCAATGAAGGTGTTTCAGGACCGGTGCTCTATGGTCTTGGCAGCAAGTGCCAGTCACCAGTCTAGCATTCTGGATTAGTTGTAGAAAGAGAAATATAATAAATTCCAGGATCTACTGCTGATGGGTCGAAGCTTAGTGTTGCAGCACCACAAGGGCTGTGCAAGGAAGGTCTCAGGTTCGCTCCCCAGCATCTGCAGGTAAGGCTGGGACGGACTCCTCTCTGAAACCCTGGAGAGCTGCTGCCAGTCAGTGCAAACAGTACTGAACTAGATGGATCGATGGCCTGGCTCAGTATAAGAGTCCCCCTCACTGGATGTCGTCACAGTAGATCAGCAAGGCTTTCTGGCTCACGGTGGTGTAAAAAGGCTCCCTCCCTCCCCTGTATCAGGAAGTTTTTAAATTTTGACGTTTTGATATGTTTTTATATGTGCTGTGGGCCAGCCAGAGCGGCTGGGGAGGCCCAGCTGGATGGGTGGGGTATAAATAATAAAACAACAACAACAACAACAACAATTATTATTATTATTATTATTATTATTATTAACCACTACAAGACTAGGCTGCTGAAACGCAGGAAGCCTGGGGAACGGAAGAACCAGGTGTGGATTTTTGGGTGCAGATGAGTTCTGGGACTGAAAAGAAACATCTAAGTGTGTGTGCTTAGCTCCAGGAGTTAATCTGCTCTTTAAGTCCAAGTGTATGCTCTCAAGTCACTACCAGGTCCCTGGTTTTGTGTATGGGTGTGCATGTGCGCATCTCAGGTTGGCAAGGCTGTCCTACTGCAATAGCTTTAGTAAATGCATGGCATCTCGGGTTGGCAAGGTACCTGGTGTGTGTGTGTGTGTGTGTGCGTGTGCATGTGTGTGTGTTTTTGTGTGCATGCATTCATGAACAGCTGGTTGGCAAGGCTGTCCTATTGCAACAGCTTTAATAAACACGCAGTCCCTTCCAGGTGCTGGACCCGTTTTATTTCCTTGGTTCTGTGGTGCCTTCCCTCACCTGGGTAATGAACGCGGTGGTGCAGAAGTAAATTCTTACCATGCCCGTACAAAAAGAAAAAGAAAAGATTCTGCAAACTTGAAGTCTGCACTCCCCGCCCTCCCGATTTAATCTAACCTGAGCCCTCCTGATAAATAAAAAAAAAAGAGGGATGTATTGCTAAATCAGAAGCCAACCAGCTTTTAAGATATCCATGAATTTTGGAACAACATTTACAGTGAATTTAAAAATCTATTCAAATTTACATTTCTAAAAAACCCAGATTTTTTTTCCCTATTAGGAATACTACCAATGGAAATAAAAAATATATATAAGACCATTGTTTATGTACGCAGTTACAGCAGCCAGAATAATAGTGGCAAGAAATTGGAAAAAATGAAACCTTACCAACGATCACAGAGTGGCAAACTCTTATGACAGAATACCTGCAACTAGCAAAATTGACTGGGAAACTTAGAGGAATGTCAAACCAAAAGGTATGTAGGGAATGGAAAATATATAAAGAGTACTTGAAAATGTACTGTACGAACAATAAGATACTTGCAGAAATAGAGTGATACTGATAACCAATAATTATTCAAAATGTAATAGTGGATTATATATCTATTTACAAAAAAAATTAATATGAATCTGTGTAAGGAATACAGATAACATAAGTAGTATAATGGGAATTATTGGAAGTTACATATTTTAATTTGTTATGTAAGTGTAATATATTGTATTTGTTTATGTTTGTTTTTCTAACTTTTACTTTATTGTTTTTATTCATTTGTATCGTCTTTTGTATTATGTGTTACAGTGGTGCCTCGCAAGACGAAATTAATCCGTTCCGCGAGAGTCTTCGTCTAGCGGTTTTTTCGTCTTGCGAAGCAAGCCCATTGACGGATTAGCGCTATTAGCGCTGACCAGCGGTTTGGCGATGCTAATAAAGTGCTTAAAGGCCTAGGGATTATGCTCACAAAAGGCTATTAGAAGTGCTATCAAAGGCTTGCAGATCTAGATACAGATTTTCTTTTTTAAAAAAAAGATTTCTAGGCTGCACAGAGACATCAAGAAAGGGAGCTTTGGCAAGGGCATAATGGCGCTGGGGTAAGGTGGAGGGGTGCCAGGCTAGGCCCCTCTCAGCCGAGGTTCCTCAGCGCCTCCTGGGCTCACCTGTTGGCTCAAACACCTCTCGCACTGCCACACCATCCGCAAAGCCAATCAGGGTCAGGTCGTCGCCTCCAGCTTCTGCCGAGCCAGGCTGCTTCCCTTCCTGCGGCTCCGAAAGCTCATCCGCCCAGCCAGGCGCCGGATCGAAGCGCAACAGCTCTCGCTGCCCATGAAGGCTCCACTTACTGCAGTTGCAGAACGCGCAGCGCTTGGGCGGGGAACTGGGAGGGTGGGAGGAAGGAGGAGATGAGAACGTGCTCGCCGTTGCAAGGAAAATCTGCCCCCTTCCAACCCGCAAGGGTGGTCCCACCCAAAATATCCCAAGGGGCCACTTTGATCTGGATCCAGGCCTTCTGTCCTCCAGTCCCATTTGGGCATCCATGACGGACTCTCTGTACCATAGCTGTCAACTTACAGATTTGAAAATAAGGGATCAGCAGCCAAAATAAGGGATTTTCCTAGCACAGGTATGTTCAACTTCTGAGCCCCTCCGAGCCAAAGGCAGAAAGCCCAGCCAGCAGCCAAACAAAGCCTCAAGCGGTGGTTCCCACAGCGCAGCAACCCAACAAAGGGGATGCAGCAAGGAAAACCACCGTCACCTCTCCGCTGGGAAGCGCTGAGCAAAGGCGAGTCCCCAGGCATCGCGGCCAATTTGATCGGCACAAGGCATGCAAGCTCCACCCCCCAGTCGTTCTCAGACTCCTTATTGGGTGAGCAATGCAGCCAAGCAACACAGTTGGAGCCTCCCTCCTCCCTGGCCAGCAGGGAGGGAGGGAGAAGAGCTGCTTCCTTTGAAACCCGGGAAATTTAAGGGACATCAACAGCAGCGGGACACGGTGCTGGGATAAGGGACTTTCCCGCCAAATAAGGGACAGTTGACAGCTATGCTCTGTGCCCATCCGAAGCCAAGCAAAGGCTCCGGATTCCCCTTCAAACTCTTCCCCGGATTCTCCTACTACGGTTTGTTAACCTTGAACCCTCGAGAGCCTCCCCATTCAGAAGAAAAGAGCTCCAAGTGAAGGAAGGGGGGGGGAAACACCGCCGAAGGTCTCCCACCTGCAGGTCGGGGGTGGCTCTGCTTTCGCTTCCGCTTCTTCCAACGCCTCTTTTGCAGGGCCTTCTTCTGGTGGCTTCAAGGGATCAGCTTCCACGCTGCCCTGCTCGTCCAAGGACACAATTCCATCTGCTGTTGAAAGAGGGTATTTTGTCAAAAGCCGGGCAACCGGGTAGGAAGCGCATCGCTCGTGTCACTTTCCCTGCCCAAACTGAGGACTTCACAGAGGAGTGATACGAGAGATGAAGGCCCATGGGGGAAATGGATTTGGGGGGAAGGAAATCTCCCCTTCCTCCACATTTTTCTGGGTCCCCACACCCCAACCCAGACCTTCACATGTCTAGGGGGGAATATATGCATTATCAAGCACAATTGCTGACAGGAACAGATACTACACTTGATCTTAGCCAAAAGGCCAAGAAGCGATGGAACATGCCTTTTTTCACTGCCAGTACCATACAGAAATACGAGCTAAGTTCATCTTGCCTACACTAACATAAATTTCCAGGTCGCACAGAACAACTTTATGCCTCCCTGCTATTTCAAGATGAAAACCCAGATGTTACATACTCAGTTACTAGATTTTGTGCTGCTATTATGGATATTGGTCGAAGGATGGTAGGCCCAAAATGCAAGACCCGTGCTCCTTCATGCTCCCTCCTTTAAAGTTGCTTTTAACCGTTTGTCCTTGTTTCTATCTTTTTAAGTTATGTATGATACAATGGGATGCGGGTGGTGCTGTGGGTTAAACCACAGAGCCTAGGACTTGCCGATCAGAAGGTTGGCAGTTCGAATCCCTGCGATGGGGTGAGCTCCCGTTGCTCAGTCCCTGCTCCTACCAACCTAGCAATTTGAAAGCACGTCAAAGTGCAAGTAGATAAATAGGTACTGCTCTGGCGGGAAGGTAAATGGCATTTCCGTGCGCTGCTCTGGTTCGCCAGAAGCGGCTTAGTCATGCTGGCCACATGACCCAGAAGCTGTACGCCAGCTCCCTCGGCCAATAAAGTGAGATGAGCACCGCAACCCCAGAGTCGGCCATGACTGGACCTAATGGTCAGAGGTCTCTTTACCTTTAGATATAACCACCTTTCAGCTACTAGTTTTTACCCCTTGCCTGTTTTAAGTCTTACGTGTTCAGTTTATCTGTATGTTTTATTTTATGCTGGTCTGTGACTAAAATAAAAGTTTGACACCAATACAGTAGCGCCCCGCAAGACGAATGCCTCGCAAGACGAAAAACTCGCTAGACGAAAGGGTTTTGCGTTTTTTGAGTCGTTCCGCAAGACGAATTTCCCTATGGGCTTGCTTCGCAAGACGAAACGTCTTGTGAATTCTTGCGAGTTTGTTTCCTTTTTCTTAAAGCCTCTAAGCCGTTAATAGCCGCTAAGCCGCTAATAGCTGTGCTTCACAAGACGAAAAAACCACAAGACGAAGAGACTCGCGGAACGGATTAATTTCGTCTTGCGAGGCACCACTGTACTGATACCGCTGACAGAAATGAGACCCAGCTCAGGACCAGTTTACCATAATATGTTCACCTGACAGCTTCAACCTGCAGAGCTGGCACTTTTGCAAAATGCCACGTAATGTTTCTTCCATACTTGCACAAAGGCAATATTTCATATTTCCTCACTCTGGAATTCCCTGCTGATTGAGATTAGGCAGGCACATTGACTCTACTGTTTTTAAGGCTCCTGCTGATTTTTTATTTGCTTTACCAAGCCTACACAGATACAGATGGATGACGTGTACTTTAAAACGCAACACTATTTCATAACGCGTATATTTATATTTCTGTTGATGCTGGTTTTATTTCTATTTGGGAGAGAGCAGAATGTAGGTAGTCTTCCGCTCTGATGCTCATCCGTCATTTTAACGTCAATCTCTCAGGTTAACAAGATTTGCAAGTTGCTAAACAAACGAAAACATTGGTTTGCCACACACACAAAAAGACGGCCGCATGTTGAGTTCTCCCATGCATAGCATCTACTCCAATGTGTTCTGATGTGGTTACAAGGGGTGATTCGTGGTCTCCCTAGAGTGCAGTCAATGATGGCCGACAGAGGCGGGATTATCGCACACTGCCATGATGTCAAGGCGCACAGCCAGCAAAACTACACATCGGAGAGGGAACTCAGCACACTGCTCCTGTGTTCAACGGCAGCCCAATATTCTCTGTCACCCACAGTTCCTCCCTAGACTGCAAAGGCAAGAAAAACTACCACTCCGTTGTGTTTAATTCTGGAAGGCTGTATTCTTTTTCTTCTTTTTTTGGTGTTAGATTTCCTTAAAAATATGAAAATGGCTAATCCTTGGTTTCTGACAAAAACTCTTTTATTATTTGAGTTGGCCTTTTCTCTTGTAAAAAGGTAAAGGACCCCTGGACGGTTAAGTCCAGTCAAAGGCGACTATGGGGTTGCGGCACTCATCTCGCTTTCAGGTTGAGGGAGGCGGCGTTTGCCCACAGACAGCTTTCCGGGTCATGTGGCCAGTGTGACTAAACCGCTTCTGGTGCAATGGAACACTGCGACGGAAACCAGAGCGCACGGAAACGCCGTTTACCTTTCCGCCACAGCGGTACCTAATTATCTACTTGCACTGGTGTGCTTTCAAACTGCTAGGTTGGCAGGAGCTGGGGCAGAGCAATGGGGGCTCACCCTGTTGCAGGGATTTGAACCACTGACCTTCCGATCGGCAAGCCGAAGAGGCTCAGTGATTTAGACCACAGCACCACCCGGGGTCCTTTATCTTTACCTTTTCTCATTCATTTAAACAATTTATCTATCAAGAAATAAAAAGACAGAAAAGATAAAAATTGGATGAAAACTATAAAACCAGGCTTTGGTGAAAATGCTTGCTGGAATAAAGACTTTTTTAAAAAATTAAGTCATTTTTATTAAAGATTTTCATGGTTTACAAATACACTTCCATTGTCTCTTTTTCAGGTTGTGTTTTATACAGATCAATTACATTTGTTGTGAGACATTGGCATTGTATGCAGTACAGTGGTACCTCTGTTTCCAAATGTAATCCGTTCTGGAAGACCGTTCAAGTTCGAAAATGGAAAACTCAACACGGAAAACTCAAAACGGAAGCCGCGCGGCATGTTTGACTTCCGAAAAGTGTTTGAAAACCGAAGCATTTATTTCCAGGTTTACGGCACTCGAAAACCAAAATATTAGTCAACAGAGACGTTCAAGAACTGAGGTACCACTGTGCAAGGTTGGGGGGAAAGACAGGAAGGAGAGGGGTGTGTGATAAAACACATTCTTTTACTTAGTGTATGTGGGGGGTGTTCTGTCAGCGTCACTTGGGTAGGTTGGAAGGCCGTGTTCTTGAAAGCAGAGGAGAGCTCTGGAGATCTCTCCTCTCTCGTGACCACAGAATCTGAACCTCTTGTGGAGGCAAACTACTCATCAACAGATGCCAAACTGGGGCACCTACCTGGTGTGTCAGAGTCTTTGTCCTCACCAGGTGGCTTCTGATCATCCATCCTGTATCCAAGAGACCTAGGCAAGAAGGAAAACAGTTCAGGAAACTTCCTTCTCCCCAGCCCTGTTTTCTCCTTAGCCTCTCACTAGGGTTTAAACAGTGTCACATAAGCCATGTTGTGGTCAAGCCCCATTATTTATTGTTACTATTCATTTATTAATCGCCTTCCAAACCACCGTCTCAAAGCAATGTCCAGTCGTACCTTGGATCTCAAATGCCGCAAACCCGGAAATGTTCCAGTATGTGAACTTTTTCGGAAGCCCAACGTCCGACATGGCTTCCGCTTGAGTGCAGGAAGCTCCTGCAGCCAATCGGAAGCCGCGCCTTGATTTTTGAACATTTTCGGAAGTCGAACGAAGTTCCAGAATGGATTCCGTTCAAGAACCAAGGTACGACTGTACACATAAGATCATTAAAAACTGTTAAACACGGGGAAACAACAAATACATTTAAGATGAGACTGAAAGCCCAACAAATGCAAGAAAGGAAAACTTCACATGTTGATACATACGCACTCAAGACATAGAATCTGCATTTACATGCACTTGCTTTGTATAATCTACTCCTCTTCCTTAATCAATAGCTCTTGGAGGCAAGCACTGGGGCTCTGGGAGGGATGGAGGCAGGCAGAAGAGGCTGAGCAAGAACCACGAGAAGAGGAGGACAGCGACCTACTAGAAGCCCAGGTCAATAGCATCCTAAGAATTGCCGCCTATACACTGCTAAACTTCCCTGTGCATCAAAGAGGGTCATCACTAGGAATAAAATGGGGAAAACAACATTCTCCAGATTACCTGCAGGTATGTAATAAATGCAACTATCCTTCTCCCCCCAATTAAGCTCAGGTAACGTAAAAACAAGTAAGCCTGCTTCTCTCTACCCCGCCCCCAAACTCCCATTTCCAAGAACTCTCTCATTTTCCCAACAAATGGGAATAGGTAAAATGGTGTCTGCCTAACCAAAGAGCATCGGGGTCCGGAGCTGTAGGAAATCCTCAGACTATTCTAAGTTACACTGGGGAAATTGTGGCACAGTGAACTCATTTCCCCCCGTAATTGGGGCAGTGGGGCTTGCTCTAAAACACAAAAGGCAATGGGTACAAATACTGGATCACATATATCAAAGGATATTCCATTCCTTTGGAACCTCTAACAGTATTGTTAGAGCACCTCTCTCTCCCCCACCACCGGCCAATTTGAATATATTTGATTAATTTAACAGCAGCTATATTTCAAATACACTGGAAAAATAAAACACCTCCACCCCAATATCACAGGATGGTGCTATAAGATTTGGGACACCCTAACGATGGTTAACATCTCCAGTTAACTGAAAATGATGTCAGGCTCTAAATACTTTGACAATTTGGTTCCCCATTTCTTAACACACTTCGACTCCTTGAAGCCTCTGCAAAAAAGGCGTTTAAAATTAAACTGTAATAAGCATTATCCTAGCAAAAACACCCAGCTCTATGGCGCACAGGGTATTTTATCTCTTTACTGTCAAATGTTAACAGGAATTTAACAACTTTGTAATTCCAGTGTTTAGCTTTCTTCCAGCCCAAGCAGAAAAGAAAATAAATTTTAAGGTCTAGTGATGAGAGGCCTGGCCTTGTTGACATGGAAATGCTTCCCTCCCCCGCTCATTAATTCAAAAGCTATGACCATAAAACCAGATCTCACAAGCCCCTTGTACAAAGGTACAATTGCTCCACGTTGCACAACCAACACAGAAGATACAGAAACCTTGAGCGATGTGAATGCATGTCTAGATCACCACCTGTGCAAGTGGGTTTTGAAGGCTATGGGGTTTTAAGGGAGCAGAGATTTTGCATCTCTTTTCAATGCTGTGGCCGTCACTCCAAAATTTCATTACAGCGGCACTGAATAAATCCAAAACAAAGCCAAGATTCAATTTCCCAAACCAGAAAGTCGC